TGTTACAGCTCTCTCCCCTGCTGGTCCTCTCGAAGCCCAGCCCCTCACTCACCTGCCCCCTATTCCCCCCTATTCTTTCTAAGCATGACCCTGCAGCTGCCCAGAGGGTAGGGGACTTCACTGACATGAAGTTTCTAATCTCCCCTCTGGGGAGTCTGGGCCCCAACACTCCCTCCAGGCCCTCAGCACCTCCTGGGGAAGGGACTCCTCCATGGGAAGGAAAGAAAAGGAAAGGTGTAGGACCACATTCGAAAGAGCAGCATCTGGCATGAGGGTGGGAGTCCCACAAACTGAAAAAGTGGGCCCCAGACCTAAAAAGACAACTGTAGACAGTGTGTGTGAGGTGGGGGGAGCTAATTCACCCCTGAGGCCTCCCCTACCCGCCCCACCCCCCTAAGTAGCTTGGGCAGGGGAGAGCCAGATGGAGAAGGAAAACAGAAATCTCTTCCATTCTTCGTTTCCCCCCTGCCCAATTCCCTGACACCCCCCATCTCTTTGGAGGGGGGTGAGTTAAAAGCCCATTAAAGTGCAGCCCCCCCCCCCCCCAACCCTTTTGAATCTCCCCACAGGATGTGCACAGGGTGGGATTTGGCCCCGGTTGCCACAGCAACTGCAGTGGGAGTTCCCAGACGCTAAGCAACCCTCCTGTGACCCTCGCTGACCTGTCACCCCCACAACCTGAGGACAATAGGAGTGCGGCTCTGGAGGCCCAGGACGCCTTTCAGTGCGGCGGCCAGCAGCTCCGCCGGCCCCCACTGGGCCTGCTCAGCCCTCCTGCCCAAGTCCTGCTCGCCTGGGCCAGAGTGCCCAGTCTGGCCCCCAAGACCTCCCCAGGCCCTCCACCTCCCAAACGCTGGCACACGTTCTCCCAGCTCTTACTGCGCCCTACCAGAGGTATCTGTGCAGTCCCCATATGAACATTTATTAACATTTTCACGCTGGTGAGTCAGATTAGGATAAAACGCAAGGGCAACCTGCAAGAAAAAAGCCATGCAAGGGAACCACGGGGTGGGGGTGGGGGGAGGTGAGGAAGGACTGCCTAGGTGAAGGAAGAGGACTGATGGGCAGCTGGCACGTCTGCTAGGCCCAGAGTATTCTTTAACGGCAGCTGGGGGATCACCAACTCCAGCTGGCCAGCAGGGTCCTCGGTACAGACTCCGGTGCAATGCATGTCTGCGGAAGGAATGCGTGCACCAGGCCCACCACACTCCCCACGCCCTTTCCTCACGAGAGTGAGACTGGAGACTAAGGGCAGAGTGGACGTGGCATGGCTCTGTCACTCACCAATCAGGGTGTTGGGAGGGGGGAGGGGCGAGAGGGGAGGGGGAAGCTGGGGCCTTGACTGCTGCAATGGGGCAGCCAGCCAGGGACCCTCTCTCCATCCGAGGGGCCTGGCAGCCAAGCTATGTCACCCCCCTCCACCCCAGGCCTCTGTTTAAACAAGCTCCGGCCTGCTGTTGCATGGAAACAGGCGTCTGCTCTTATTCCGAAGTGACGTGGCTGCCCTCTTCAGCACTGTTTGTTTCAGCTTAAAGTCCTGTCACCAGTCTGACTTCTGACTCGCCCTGTTTATCTCTCTCTCTCTCCTCTGTCAACTCATTATTCCCAAAGGCCAAGCTTGCATTTCCAGGGTTTGTTTACCCAGAACGGAGGGACAGGGACCAACAGACAGAAGGACAGAGGGAGAGAGGACAGACCAGTGCAACGCCCACAGACCCCCCCCCCCCAACCTCCTTCCTCTGGAGTGGCTACTTAGGGCCAGTGGACAGTGTTGCTTCTGTTTGTTTGTTTTAAGAGACCTTTTAGGTTGAGAATGGAGTGCTCTCAATCATGCATCAATAGACGTTTATTTAGCACCTACTATGTTGCAGGCCTTGCTCCCTCCATCTCCTACAGGGGACTGTGTGAGTGGCAGGAGCAAAAAGGAGGCTGTGCTGAACCCTGAACTAGGAACTGGGAGGCCGGAGGTCTAGCTGCAGCCTTTCCCATGTCGCATGGACAAGTCAGTGCCACCTCTTGCTGCCCTCTCACCTGTGAAATGGGAATAATAACATCCACTCCCCCCGCAGATGACTGAAGGACACAACCAATGAGAGACACAGGTATTTGTTTGTCCTTGAAGGACTTCCTGGTTGGGACAGAGGGAGGAGGAGCCCACTGGGCCAGGCTCTCTTTCCTCTGGTTGGTTTAGCCCACAAATCGGAACATTTGTTGGGGGGGGGGGGCAGAAAGTGTTACCCCTGAAACATCCCCCACACCTCACTCATATATTGGGGGGTGGGAGCAGGGCCTACAGACGGATCTTATTTAATTGCACATTTTGGATTTTTAATTTTGCAGGTCTCTTTTCATAGTTTGGAGCCAACAAAACCTTTTTAAGTCTCAAATATTTTCCTTGGCCCCAGGCACTACGCCCGTAGTGAGCCCAAATGGATAAAACAGCCCTCCGCCTGCCTCCAAATCTCCACCCCAGTTTATTTGTGAAACAGATATAGGATTTTCCAGGACTTTGGGATATTCCCCAAAACAAACAGGAATAACTGGAACATGGAACACGGAGGGTAAAACATGCGTGTGCGGAGCGGAGAAACCTGATCAGCACACACAGTGCTTCCCCACCCCACGCATCTCCCCCGCCACCCAGTTTCTGTGCTCACTCTTCACTTTAAATACGTTTTAAAAGACATTCCCAGTTTCAGCGTTTCTCCTGCCCACCCCTCACCCCCCATTCTGCGTAGAAGAGCGGGAGGGGAAGCTGGCCATACGGAGTGGGTGGCCCTGGTGGTGGGGTGTGTTTCGTCATTATTTTGGTGGAGGGTAGGATTTTGCCCTTTGACCTCTGTCCCCAGTAGACGGCACAGGCACTGAGTCTCTCCCCCAGAGATCCTGCTTAGGAAGGCTTGGGAGATGCCAGGACACTCCCAAGGCCCACCTCCCCGGGGAATGGAGACCGAATGGGGACCGGCCCTTCCACTCCAGCCCCCACTGCTTGTGAGAGGAAGTGATTTTTAAAGCCCTTAGTTCTGTTCCCATCCACGCAGCCCCTGGGGACGGGGGTTTCACACCTAAACTGCATCTGATCCTAAAGCCCAAGGAAGCCAAGGCTCGAGAGGCCCAGGACTTGGCAAAGGTCACACGAAGGGACAGGCTCGGACTGAACCCGGGTTTGTTTCATTCCTGTGTCAGTGCTGGCTGACCGGCTCCATGTAGGGCGCCTAGCGTCTGACCAGGCTGCTCCTGGCTGACCTCCGGCTCCCACTGATGAGCTATGTGGGGGGAAAGGGCCCCCTAGGGGCTGTGGAGTGGGAGGAGGAGCCCCAGGGTGAACCTAGGAGCCAGCATGAGAGCAAGGTACACACATCCCGGAAGGCACACACCTAAGGCCATCAGGCAGGGGTGGGAGCCCGGTGGGGAGGGGCAGGCGGGACCTGAATTTTCCTTATTCCCAGCAGAGCCCCTAAGGGCCAGCGCCACCAGCAGTGATTCGAGAAGCAGGGAGTCAAGTAAGAGGAGGCTCTCCAGGCCAGGCTGGCTGGGCCGGTTCTCGTGAACTTGTCAAGCCCGATTCTCCCTGTTTCCCGGGTGGGGCTGGGACCTGGAGCCCCGGTTCTGTCATCACCCAACCAGGCTCCCCACCCTCGGGCCTCTCTATCCACAGAAAGGCTGGCCTTGAACTCCTGAACTCTGCAGTTCAGAGTGGGAATGACGGAGGGGAAGAGGGAAAGTGGATACAGACAGGGGTGCCCAGTCTGAGCCCTAAAAATGGAGGCGTGCCTTTGCCTCTGGCTCTTGGCCTTTTCCCAGCTGCTCTGGCCTCTGGTGTCTGGAAGTTTGATCTCTTCACAGCTTGAGTCAGGGGCCCAAGCAGACATTGGGGGGTGGGGAGGCGTGCTTATTTTACAATACAAATAAAGCAGAGATACCCCTATGTGCCCAGCCCCCTCTCCCCAGTGGACACACTTCTAAAGGGAGGGTCTTCTCCCCACCCTGTTAGCTTAGCCAGTGGCAGGAGGGCCCAGGTGCCCACCCACCCAGGATGCACACTCAGGCCGGCTTCCCTAGTCTGTCTGTCCCGGTGGGCATTTCTGAGACTGTCCGAAGCGCTATGATCTCAGGACCCCGAGTCCTACTTCTTTCTCTGGAAAGCTCAGCTCTCCCTTGGTTAAGGTGGCCACTAGCACGGAGGGCGCAGAGGGAGTCCCTCGGAGCTGGACCTTCCGAAGATTGTTAAAGGGAAGCTGCCTGGCCCGGAGCAGTGGCACCAGTGGCCAGGATGGAGTGGGAAGAGGCCTGGCGTGCCCCCTCCCTGTCCCCGGGGGCCGAGGAGGGGCGCCAGCTCCTACCTGTTGCTGCTGGAAGTGCAGCAGATCCGCAGGGCTCATCTCGCCGTTGCTGTCGGCGCCCGCAGCTGCGTCCCTGCCCGCACCGCCTCCAGCAGCGCCTGCAGCCCCAGCACCACCGCTGCCATCGGCCTGCCCGGAGAGGCTGCCCACGCCGTTCTGACCAGAGGGAGCTGACCTGATTGTCTCCGAGGCAGATTCCACCATCATGTCGCTCTAGCGGGACCTGGAGCGGGAGGAGAGATGGGGGAGGGGCTGAGTGGGTAGGGCAGGTGCGGGTTCTACCCTGGGCAGCAACCATGTCCCTCAACACCCCCACCTAACACCCCACCCCAGGCCTGGGGCACCTCCTCCTAGGACCCCTCTTGGGGAGCAACCTCTCCCAGTGTCACCCTTCCCCTAGGCTGGGAAAAGGGGCAGCCCCAGACTGCAGCTGCCCCTCCTCCCTGAACTTTTTCTCGACTTCCAGAAGACCTCTACAGGGCAGGGGGGAGATGCTGCCCCCCAAACCTATTCCGGCCTCTCCCTCCTGGCCAGGGCATTGGGGGGATGGGAGGGAGGGGCGAGGGTTCTGCAAGAACTTAAAAGCAGATGAGCTATTCACTGGGACTCACTATCTCCCCTCCTCCTTTGGCACAAACACCTGTAATGGCCATTGTGCTTGTAGACGGGGAGTTCCCCAGGGCAGGGAGGCAGGGGGTTCCCCAGGGCAGGGGCCTCCCTAGTCTTTTCCCGAGGGCACTGAGGTTCGCATCAAGATTTGCTCCACAGCAAAAAGGCTGCCATTTGCCCAGCACCTCCTGGGAGCCAGACTCAGCTTGGAGCTGTGCAGTGGAGGCAGCCACGGTCCACTTCTCCGCCTTCCCTTCTAAGGCTGGCAGGCGAGGGTCTGGCCAGAAGTAGACCCTCAGTCACATTGTCTCCACAGGCACCATGATTCCTCATCACAAGACTGTGAGAGTGTTCATCATCCTGACCTGACAGATGGGAAAGCGGAGGGTCCAGAGTTTGGGGATTTACAGAGGCAAAGGGCCAAGGCCTGAATTCCATACCCTCATTTTCCCCACTCCAACTGCCTCCCAGGAAGAGAGAGGGTCAAGGGCAGTGAGGAGAGGGAGGAGGCCTGGACTTCCTTCTGCAACTTGTGGAGGTCCCGCTACCTCAGGGGCTTGCACCCACACTGCGATGGGGAACCTGAACATGCAGAGCTGTTCTCAAAGTCTGGGATGTCTCCAACGACCCCCAAAGTTTGCTTGAGAGGCACATGGGTTTTAGTGAAACAGGAGATGGCTGGTATCCACCACTGATCTTCAACACATCCTTTTAAAATATATATATTATTGATTTCAGAGAGGAAGGAAGAGGGAGAGATAGAAACATCAATGATGAGAGAGAATCATTGATGGGCTGCCTCCTGCAGGCCCCCTACTGGGGATCGAGTCCGCAACCCCGGGCATGTGCCCTTGATCGGAATTGAACCGGGGACCCTTTGGTCAGCAGGCCAACGCTCAATTCACTGAGCCAAACCTGCTAGGGCTTCAACACGTCTTTTTTTTTTTTTTAAGATGTTTTTATTGATTTCAGAGAGAGAGGAAGGGAGAAGGAGAGAGAAAGGAAGGGAACAGGAGAAAGAGAGAAACATCAATGTGAGAGAGGAGCACTGATCAACTGCCTCCTGCATGAACCCTGATCGGGGGACTGAACCCACTATGTGGGCATGTGCCCTGACCAGAAATCGAACTGGTGGCCTTTCGGTGCACAGGACACTCAACCGAGCCACACCGACCAGGGCTTCCACACACGTCTTAAACCCCCTAAAACTCCATTTCCTAGAGTCCTGTAAGGAGTAAATAAAACAGCACACACAAACCACCTAGCAGGGTAAGCTCCCATCACCGCCTTCTTCGCCTGCCCTATTTGTAAGGGTGAAGACCCTGAGGCTCAGAGAGGTCATGGACTTGGCCCAGGTCACACAGAGGTCAAGGGGCAGAAGCCACAGGAGCAGCTAGTGGGGCCTGTGAAAGTCAGCCCGTGTTCTTCCCCCCCCCCCCTACAACCACATGGTCTCCCTAACCCAAGAGGCCTTGCAGGTAGCAAATTAGGGAAACGACTGGAAAAGATTGGATTATTTCCCTAGTTCCTCCTCAAAATGCAGCTCCCAGGAGCCTCTCTCTCCTGCCCCCAAATTCTCTCCTTGCACCACGAGGAGAATCCTTTCCCCCTCAGAGGGCCACGTGCCCTGTTTTATCCCTGCTGGAAGCAAACCCAGTTGAAGTGAGGGTCCTGGGGGGCAGGACAGAGAGCTGCTAAGGGTCCCTGGGGAGCCCACCAGTTCACATGTGCCACCCACATCACTGCTCTTAAGGCCCCTCTCCCTCTGTGACTCTAGGCGTCTCCGTGTGGCTTCCTATGTGAACCTGTGCTGCTGGAGTGTCCTGTGTCTGTGCATTTCTCTGTGTGTTCCCCAGGAACATTTCTCTTGTGTGTCCCCCCACCCCAGCTGCTGCTCCCACTCTTGGGGCCAGAGGAGCTGGGCCAGGGGCGAGGGAGAGGGCGAGGTTGAGGGCGATGGTTCGGAAGAGATTGAGCACTCGGTCTCAGGCCTTAATGGCCGTGTCAGCCAGAGGGCCAGTGGCTGCCAAATGATGGATGGGGTGGGCGCCATCCTCCACCCGCCAGAGCACAGGGCTCCAGCCCCCCTTTCCCCAACCACCCACCCTGATCCCTCCCAGCAGCCTGCAGAGCACCTTCCCCCACTCGGGCCTGGGCCCCAGCTACAAGAGGGGGGTGGGGAGACAGCAGGGGCATACTCTAGTCTCCCTCTCCCCCAACACTGGCCCTGTGGGGGGTGGAGAGCAGCTGCCTGCCCTGATTCCAAGCTTAGCTTCTCTGAGATCTGAGAACTCCTGGGCCCCAGGGGACAAAGACCAGAGCCTCAGGGGTGTGTGTGCACAGGAGAAAGGAAAGAGAATCCAGCAGTTACTTTCCTGGGGTAAGAATGAGTGCCCCCCTTTTAATACACACACACACACCATAAAGTTGTAGACCAGACAGCAAGTTTGGAGAAAGGGAGAAAAAGTAAAGAGGATGAAAACAGAGGTGTTCCTTTCTTTTCTGTTTGTTTTTTTTTAATGTGGGGGGGGGGGCATAGCGACACCAGTGAACAACATAATTGCTGCAATGTGGCGTGTAATAATAGCTATTCAAGGGCCAATCATTCATATTAAACAGGGTGAAGCAAGCCTCTCATTTGCATGCTTGAGATTATATGCATTTGAAAAGTCATTTCCTCAGGGTATATGAATGGCATTAATTCCCACGGGGCACGCTCTGCCCCCCTCCTGGGAACTTACACCCACTGAAACCAGCAAGGAACGCTCACCTCTGCCCTGCGATGCCCGCCCTCTGAGAATGAGCACACCGTCGGCCTCAAGCCTCCAGCTCACCTCTCCACGGGGTGTTGCAATAGCACTGGGGTGTTCCCTGCACTGTGGGTGAGCAGCTCCGGTGCCTGGGGCCCAGCCTGCTAGGGTTGGGGTGGGTGGGGTGCTGGAGGTAAGACTTGATATCCATGCCCTGCAACTACAAGAATGTGGGGTGTAGCGGAGGAAGCGTATCCATGAGAACCTGGACCCTGGCTAGAGGAGAAGGCAGGGGCCTGGGTGTCAGGCAGCCTGAGCTCGGCCACAGCCAGCTATGCACACTGCCTTGCTCCTGCTCTGGGCCTCCACTTCCCCATCTCTACATGGAGAGGTGGTCTTGACGGTCTCTTAATTCCCTGGCCCAGCACGTGGACATGAAGCCAGACTGTTCTAGTGGCTGGAGGGAGCCAGTGAGGGTTCATCGGAGTCACAGCTAGTCTCAAAAGGCGAGAGCAGACTTGAGCTTCCTGCCCCGGTGAGGGGGGCACCCTCCAGGCGTCCCCTCCTCCCTTCACTCTGCTCTTCCACCTCTGTCCACACGCTCCTCCCCCAGTCACCCATTTCCTCGGCAAACAGCAGCTGAAACCCACAGGGAGGAGAGAAGCCCTGGGAATGGGACTACCTGGTTTCAGGGGCCTGATGCAGGACTCTGGGCAAGTCACTGCCTTTCCCAAGTTAATGGCTGTTCTTTCTTCCTTTATACAACGCGTACGTGGGGGATTGGGAGGTCTTTCTAGGGCTCAATACACGGAAGCCCTCACTCCCCACTCCAGCCTTCCCAGACCCCTCTTGCAACCACGCTTGGGGCAGAGAAGAGCAGCTGCCCGGGAGTTATTTCAGGTGATCTAGGGTTTCCGACTGGGGCTCTGATCCTGCCCTTAGGCAGGTCCTAGTCTCCCATCTCTCGGGGTTCCCCTTCGGGAGCCAGGGCACCCCAGGGCCTTGAGCCCGGCCTTCAGAAGGAAGGAAGCTGGGTCAAAGCCGCAGCCGCCTCTTCCGCTCTGGGGGAGTCTGCGGGCCGCTGGGGGCTCCCACTTCCCCAGAGGCTCCTGGCCCTTCTAAGAACCCCGTAAGGTGCACCGTGGGGGACGCCTCGGAACTCCTCTGGGTCGCCCAGTCCCCTCCCTGGCAGAAGTGACGAGCTCCACCTACCTTGGGACCAAAGGGAGGACCCAGGGGCCAGGGTGCTTTCGGGGGAGGGGGAAAAGGATGGGGAGTCCTACACGAGGAGAAACCTTTGTGCCTTTTCCGCGGGCCCATATGGTGTAAGAGAGTATTAATTACCGTAGCTTTTTAATTAACAATCGCTTAGTCTGAGCCCTAACATTTGCCACGACACCCGGCGCCTCGCTGCGAACCCGCGCTGCCGGCCCAGCCAACTCATCAATTAATTTTTATTGACGGTTTCTTCCCCAAACAGGCACAATACCAGGGTTTTCCAATTAACACCTCCGCGATCTCTAATTAGTGCAATTAACAGACTGATGAATGCCCGGAGTTTACCGCGAAGGAGGGGGCGGGGCAGCCCCCAGCGCTGCTCTAGGGGCTGAGCCTAGCAGGGCGCACGTGCATGCGCGCCGCTGGAGGGGGCGCACCCGCAGTTCTTTGGGAAGCTTGGAGGGTGAGGGTGTGACTACCGGTTACCTGTACCCGGAGCAGTGATGGTGGTTTGAGTTGAAGGAAGGAGACACTGTGTCCAGCCCTCAGAAGCCTATGATCGATGGACGCGCCCTGAAAGTCAAGGTGAGACTAGGAGTTGGAAACCTGGCTTCTGGTCCCAGCTTTATCTCCTACTTGCTGAGTGACCTGGGCCAGGTTAACTGCCCGCTTTTCTCCTCTGGATACTGGGGATAAAGCGACTAGATGTAGCTATTTATAATGTATACCCCTATCAACTTCTCAAAAAAGACTGGGCAGCAGCCTGCCATGAAAGACAGATAAAGATTCTTAAAATATATTATCATGGGGTGGTAGGAAGGGAGAGTAAATGGATTAAAATTTTAAGCCTGAGAACGTCAAACTTGAGTGCGTCAGGGTCGTCTGGGAGAGCTTGTTCAAACACAGACAGCGGGGCCCCAGGTCTGGAGTTTCTGACTCAATAGGTCTGCAGTGAGCCTGAGAACAGTCATTTAAAAAAAAAAAAAAGTTCCCAAGGCAATAGGGCTACGAGGAGTATTGACTAGTTATGAGCCTCCTGGTGGCCGAAACCAGATGAGCCATCTCATCTCCAAGGCCACTCATTCATTCACCCTGGACTGAGTGCGTAATTAAGCCAAGCCCTGAAGATCTGTCTACAGCAGTGGTTCTCAACCTTCCTAATGCCGCAGCCCTTTAATACAGTTCCTCATGTGGTGGTGACCCCCAACCATAAAATTATTTTCGTTGCAACTTCATAACTGTAATTTTGCTACTGTTATGAATCATAATGTAAAGATCTGATATGCAGGATGTATTTTCATTGTTACAAACTGAACATAATTAAAGCATAGTGATTAATCACAAAAACAGTATGTA